ACTTGCTATAACAATCAGAGCTAAAAGGAAAAAACAAATGCAATACAAGATCCTGCTCTACTTGAAAATCAATGACAGAATCCCTAATAGCTTTGAAAGATACAAAATAAGTCCATAAAAGCTCCACAAAAGCATCAAACATCAGCATAATCATGACTGCACTGAATTTTTTTTTTTTATGGGAAGGGAAAACCCTTTCAAGTTTTAAAAGTTTAAAGACCACTGCTCTATCCTTCTTAAACATAACCTGAGAAAGGCAAGGGTGAAATAGTGAGGGAAGTTTCCCTCCTAATTTAATTCAGAAAAGATTAGCTAAACAAAACTACAAAGAATTGTTTTTAAGATTTCCAGTGTGCATGACATTCTTCATCAACATACCTCACACAAATAGAGAAGATGGCAGCAGAACTCTGAGAAACATTTATTCATTAAAAGGTACAGAAAATACAGAAGGGAAAATCATGCAGAATTACTTTGCACGTGTTTTATTTTCCATTTTAAATTCTTAATGAGTCGTAAATTCCATCAAGTATTTAAAATACCCCAAATCCTTTGCCGTTTTGTAACAGTCTAAAGATATGAGGCCTAATAATGATTGACATTGTCCTTTACTAATCTGAAGCTTTAACAGCATGACAATTGACAGTTCAGTGTTTCAGAATGAAGCAGAAGCTTGAAATTATTTTAAAAAAAATAAAAGGATGAAACAGAAAAACAAAGTTGTCTGCTGAAATACAAGAAGAAAAGGTTTGGGTTCTTTTTAAATAAGAATTGTTATATGATAAAACATTTCCTGGGTCCTAGGTTCAAACACATTATATCAGTCTTGGTCTACAACTGGTTTCTGTGACTCCACCACCCATCTGCAAGGTTGCAATAATACTTACTTGTTTTAATGGTACCAAATACTGCAGCTGCTATTATACCTTTATTAATTGGTTTTGAAACTTAAGCACAAAAATACTGCTGAACTGCAAAATATCATCAACACTAAAATCTTAGAAAGCGGATACAGATTGAAAACTCTATTAAAAAAATCTTTCATTCACCAGCCATTAACTTAATCATCATCTGGGATTTCCTGAATGTAACCCTGTTTCAGCTAATAACATGGGATTCCATAAAAGTCTGTCTCCACTAATATGAGTGCACAACTGGAGTGAGTTTCCTTTTACACAGTGTGTAGCTACTGGAAGACCTCCTTCATGAAACCCCAGCTTTCAAACTGAGATGTCACTCCTTACACACACACAAAAGTATCTCTGAGCATCACAAAATAAAGGATCATTGTAGAAACATTTGTTAAAAATTTTAATAAATACAGGTGTAAGATATACAGAAAGAGAAAACACTTCCCTGTTATCATCTGGGAACTCCATGTGTTACGTCAGCGAGATATAAGATACCTTTTGCAAAAGAGGAATTACATAATGTATGCTACAGTCACCCTACCTGTAATTCCAAAGAAACACAGAGCAAATAGATTACTTTCTTTAAACTAAATGAAAGTTTCACTGCTAATAGCTGAGAAACAGTCTTTGAGGAAGTTGAGCACAAATACAGTAGTTTTACAACTCAATCAAACAATATCCAGGAGCCTATCCATGTAAGAACAACCACTGCAAATGGAGAAAGCTTTAAAAAAAAAAAATCGACTGAAAAGCAAGTATTAAAAAAGATACATTCAAATATGATCTGATACCCTTCCAAGCTGCTTTTGGCTCTCCACACTATTCCAAATGCAGGCATCTTCCACTTGTTTGTTTATTTGTTCTTAGAAAAGCAATATAAAAACAAGCAATATTAAGAAGCAATATACTAAACATATTAACCAGGCTTCTGAAAACATCACTTTTATTTAGAAAAAGACTTTATTCTGGGAATACGGTTTAAGAGTTTGAAGTTAAATTATGACCCTTTTGTAGGGAGGAGGGAAGGTAACAAACTTTTAAGGGCATATTCCTCCTTTCTACACAAACATGCTGTTTGGAATGGGGTGGGAAGAGTTTTATCATCATTACAACAGTCATAGCTGAGGCAACCATGAAGTTAGTGTTGATGTTATAATGGAAACACCTCTGTTCAGCGTTAATCTGTAGTACCAGTAAGTGATTCATTACAAACACTGTGACAAATCATGAGGAGCGATGAGTTTTGTATCCTCCCTGGCATTTGCCTCTTCCAAGTGAGCTGGCTCACAGCTGTCCCAGGGCCTGGGTGGTTGTAGAGGGTTGGAACAAGCAAAGTGGATGAAAAAGCTTTTTTTTTGTTGTGGTTAAAAAATGAAACCCTCTAAGTTAAAGAAGACATTTTGTTCACGCACCTTGAGAGAAGAGGGCACATGTTCCCCATTTCTGACAAAAAAAAAAAAAAAAAAAAGAGC